TACTGCATGATATTGGTCCATGTTATCTCACAAGATCAAGGTGGACACAAATTTCACTAGGAATGGAACTTTCTTTAGTATGGTGTTTGAGTCAACATATTTATATTTGGGTTAATTACTATTTAGTCTCGTAGTTCCGCAATGCAGTATAATCCCATTTCTCTGTTACAACTTAGTACCAAAATACATACACTCTGTACGCATAATTTATACCTTTATTGTTACAATTAAGTCCAGAAACAGCTGAAAATGACTCAATTGATTTTCTTTGCACAAGGTGTATAGTTGTGGAACTGTTATTAACCCTATCATCTTCTATGCAATTGGTGTTTCCCTTTCTACTTAATTGTTTTCTATTAAAACATTTTTATGCTTCATGGTACAGGATCATTTTTCAAAGGTTCACAAGATGGCAATAAATATCAAATACATAGGTATCTTCCAGATTCTTATATATACTTTTTAGTGCAGAGGAAGCATTTATTTTGTCAGAAACTGTATTGAGAACTCTGTCATGCATTATTTGCATAGTATCAGATTGCATTTCCGTTTCTATGTTCTTTTTTTTTTAAAAATACTATATAGGGTTCATGCTTTCGCTAGCCACTCATTGATTTTTATCATGGGAAGTTATCATTCTACGACTGAACTCAAATTCTATGTACTTAAATAAGTACTTGTAACTAGGCTTATTAATTACACTGTACAAATTTCCAAAAGAACTTAATACTCGATAATTCGTTCTAGTAAGAGAAGTAAACCCTGAAATGTATTTAAGTTTCCTGTGCAGTAATCAAATTTAGAATTGTATTATTCTGAATGCATATATGCATGCAGATCCAACATATATGATACGAGCTATTCCAAGTAATGCCTCAGACAACATCTACTGCACTCTTCTTGCTCACAGTGCTGTTCATGGGGCAATGGCTGGGTACACAGGTTTCACAGTGGGTCTCGTCAATAGCAAACAAGCTTACATTCCAATTGCTGTAAGCTTTTAATTTTCTCATTCTTTCCTTTGAGCATAGGACCTTATTGAAGATCAGTTTAACTTATGATTTAGCTCGTATTAGAACTAATTATGAATGCTTGAGTACTGATTACATTATCATTTGAGAAGTTGAAAGTTGTGGCTTGTAGATAGGTTATGAAGATTAGTTCCAGATCTAAAGCCACATAGATAGCTATGATATGTTTGCTTCGGTACTGTTTCTATCTCTGACCTGGATTCTTGGTATGGGTTGTCCAGATTACAGAAGATTATTTGAGTTTTCCTTTTTTCAACCTATTTTGGTTCAAAACATGAAAACATTTTGCTAGAAACACTTGCAGGCCTCCGATGCTCTTACCATACTCTTGCTGTTACCCACATGTGCATGATATATCTACCTAAGATATCAAAATACTCTTCTCCTGTCTAAGCCTTGACAACCAACCTTGGGACATTTCTCCTGAATTATGGAATTACCATGTTCCGGGATACTTTATACGGCTGATGACGGCCGAAAGTAGCATATACTGCAGTTCTAATTATAGTTAACCTGTAGTTTCTTTAGTTTCAGATTGCAGAAGCTTATTCCCTTGCCCATTCTGTCATTGAAGTTTTATGTGTGTAGAAGTCTTTCTTTTCTTTAAATAACTGAAATGTGAGAAAAGTTGTCCAGCATGCTGTCTTATTCAACATGTATCTTACCCTTGTCTTGTTTCGTTGTTCTTTTTCCCGTCAGATTGTCTAACTTTGAATGATATGGTTTGGTATTGTAGCGTGTGACTGAGACAACAAACACTGTGAAGTTGACCGATAGGATGTGGGCTAGGGTGCTTGCATCTACAAATCAGCCTACCTTTTTGAGCTG